CCTCCGGCCTCAGCCACCTCACAGTCTTGAAAAGGGGATGATACATCTTTTAATGATCTCCCTTGTTGGTTTGGGAAAGTACATTGTTACTTCTCAGCATAATACTGTATGAATGTTGAATACTAAAACATGGAATATTGGGTTCTGTTGAGAATGACTCATGACATTTTATAATATGCTAAACTTAAACATCATTATAATGGTAAACAAATAGTTGTATCACACTGTTTAACTTTGTAAAAAGAAGTAATAACACAACATGCATCTCATGAGTTTTAAAGCGTAGCCATGCTTGATATAATGCATTGCAGGTGTTTCCCTTAAGCTTTACTTACATTAGATTATGGTAGCCAATGTTAAATCAATTCAGCAAAGTTAAGCATCCAGTATAAATGCTATCGGCCAATTAAAAAGGTTTACAAGTGATTATCAGCCTCATAGATATGGGTCAGAAGGGGCCTGCTGCACCAACTAGTCAATCAATCAATCAATGTTTATTTATATAGCCCAATATCACAAATGTTACATTTGTCTCAGTGGACTTCACAGTTTGTACAGAATATCAGTATGACAATACGACACCCTTAGACCCTCACATCGTACAAGGAAAAACTTCCGGAGAAAACCCACAGTTTAAAGGGAACATGGGAGAAACCTCAGGGAGAGCAACAGAGGAGGGATCCCTCTCCCAGGACGGACAGACGTGCAATAGATGCCGTGTGTATATCGAAGAGATAATACATTTACAACATAGGTAGGTTTTTATCATCAATTCACAAAGTTGATCATCAGAAGAAAGAACACTGAAAGATCCTGACCTCTAGCAAAACAGTTTAATTATGACATGAGTGAAGGGGGAAGTCAGGTGACCAAGTATAAAAAAAAAAAAACTGAAAGGTATTAAAAACAAAGTGTTGCAGTCTAACCCTAATTCTAACCAATATCTTTTTTACTTAAACCTAAAAAGTAGATTTGTTGCCTAAACCTAAAGGAATGCATTTGTTGTTCAAAGTGTTACATTTAATTTAATTTCACCACATCTTGTTAAGTTTCACTTTGACAAAGCTTTTTTACTTTGGCCCATGTGATGCATTAGATTGGATGGATTTGCAGCGTGACACACATTGCAAGGTCAGTTTGAAGAAAACCTAGTTGACTGTGCCTGATACAGAGTGAGAGTGGCCTTGGTTGACAGTGTGTAACAAATGAAAATAGACAAACCCATTCCTTACCTTCACACAGCGACTAATCTTAGCATGAAGAGCATCTGAATGTTGAATTCTAGGTTTTGTGAAGTTACTTTTTATGATTTTATGTTTCACATGTAAACTATCTATTGGGTCAAAAAAGCATTGTGTATTAGCATAAAAACTAAAAAAGGCATATTTTGTCCACTAAGACTGTCCCAAAATGTCCACTGAAAATGTACGCAGTGAAATAGATTTGATATAATATGAACTGAAGTAGTAAATGGTCTGCATTTCAGAATCAGAATCAGAAACGGGTTTACACCACGGGACGACACCACCCTCATCGGACTCATCTCTGGTGGGGACGAGTCTGCCTACAGGTGGGAGATGGACCATCTGGTGACCTGGTGCAGGGACAACCACCTGGAGCTCAACGCTCTCAAGGCAGTGGAGATGGTTGTGGACTTTAGGAAGAACGCAGCCCCACCCGCCCCCATCGCTCTGTGTGACTCCCCAGTAACTGCTGTGGAGTCTTTCCGCTTCCTGGGCACCATCATCGCCCAGGGCCTCAACTGGGAGCAGAACATCTGGTCCCTCATCAAAAAAGCACAGCCGAGGATGTTCTTCCTGAGGCAGCTGAAGAAATTCAACCTGCCAATGATGGTGAACTTCTACACCTCCATCATCGAGTCCATCCTCACCTCCTCCATCACCATCTGGTACGCTGCAGCACAGCCAAGGATAAGGGCAGGCTGCAGCGTGTCTTTACATGGATCTTTTCTAGTGTTTTACAACCCAAGTCAGAATTCACCCATTCTCACATATACGCGCCACTCTTTAGAAGCCATAAACATTCACATGCTCTCACACAGTTGGCTATACCGTTGGGAACCATTAGGGTATCTTGCCCAAGGACACTTCCACATATTGACCGCAGGGGTCGTGGATCGAACCATCGACCTTCAGATGATTGACGACCCCTTTACACCCTGAGCTACAGCAGCCAGGATAAACTAGAGAAGACTCCTTACACGTTAGCATATGTTGGGTTTTAAGTATTGTTTGTTTATCTCTAAATGCAACAATCATTTAGCCAACATCTACAGAAATAACAGCACCTGACCAGCAGGGATTCAGCATCATGCATCAATTCTGCAGGGAGGATGCTTCAGGTCATCTGACACTGAATCGAAGACACTGACAAAGTGTCCTGATAATAATGCCACCGTGCTACCTGACATCGCAGGACAGTGCCTTCGAAATCCAATGTACCATTCAGAAATCAATACAGCTTCTCTAAGAGGAAGAGG